ACTTCTTTTTCTAGATATTGAGAAATTCAGCTAAAATTGAATTGGAATTGTTTGTATATCTTTAAACTTGTTATCTCTGCTTTCTGAATATAGATGGTTTAAATTATTACATCTAAAGGTACTTCTGTACATTTTACTCTTGTATATTACATATTAATTTTATAGATTAAAAGCTTAGTGATGAAACAGAATAAATAAATGAAATAACAAACTGGAATTGTATCTATTCAGATACTTAGATAACAGTTTTTTGACATTAAGAGTTTATTTCCCAGTCTGTTTCTATTCAGATGAAAAATGTTACGGTAAAACATGAGACTTCTCTTTTGAATCCAAGTCTCACACTGAGGAATAAGTTCATATTACCTTACAGAAATTTCCCTTCTTTCATAAATCCTTATGGGAGACAAACGTCTTCCCCGCCCTCCCCACCCCAAGTGCTTACAACAGTCTCTCATCCTAGAAAACTATTTCATTAAAGTCTCAAAGTACTGAGAGTCTACAGAACTTCTCCACTTACTACCATTCCTGTCAATCAGTGGTTTTAAACTATGAAAAAATGCAACTACTTGAACTCTTGACACAGGTACAAGTAACTGTGTGTTTTGCTCATTCCCATCATTAGAAAAGGAAAAATCCAGACCCCTGAGGTGGCTGAGAAATTTGCCACTAGATTCAGCTGTTGAAGATTTCACTCCAGCTGTTTTTAAAAGCACTCAAAGGTATTTAGAGTCCAGACATGGGAACCGTCACAGAGCAGTTAGGTTTTGCTGGCAAAGACCTGTCAGCAGTTCCTGTGTAAGAATCATACCACTACTTTTGCTCCCGATATTCATAACTTGTTATCTGCAAGATTAAAACTGGGTTGTTCATAGGTAAGACTGACCTGAGAAATTTGAATCTGTTGGGCACACTTACAAAGGGGCACGGGGTCTGACTTTCCTCTTTGTTTAATGCATGTAAGCATGTTTCTTGTTCATGTGACATCATCCTTGCATTCTGCTTACAGACAGAGGACTACAGGTGGGCTGTGCTCTTTCAAAACCAGCTGACAACTCAGAATGCAGACTCTCTGAAAACTCTGTGACCAAGCCTGTATTTATTTAAGCTAGTCTAAAACTAAACTGAATTTAAACTAAACTAAAACTAACTTACTAGGTAAGCTAGTTTTAAGTAAGCTTACCCTAGGATGAAGCTGATGCGTAGGAAAGATCAGTCTAAATCATTAGTAGTTTTAACACACTGTGATTTAACTTTATTCTATGGGGGAGGCACAATAAGGAAATCAATTTATTTTGAAAAGTTGGTCTTCAGGTAAAAATCTAATGTATGATGGAGGAAGGAAGGCAGGGCAAGAAAATGGGCTGAGAGAAGACTTCAGCAGCTTTAAATCCACTTTTGGTGAGCTACATCTTCAGGCAGAATAAATCTTGCTATTGCAGGCCGGATGCAGGTGGCAAGCTATTGAACACTGAATCCTGATGCTTCCTGTACTCAAATGACGCACACAGGCACCTTGCCCACATCAATCACTAACAAGCACTTTTACAGCATGACTTAGGGCTTGATTAGCAACTTCTGATCCTTGCAGTCTCCTGGACTGCAGCAGGCATGCAGGTGGTGATTTGGTGGCGCATGAGAATGTTCAGGGATGATTCACCACCACCTCACTAAAAATAAGTGCAGTATTTAAAGAGGAGGAGAGGCTTAAAATGGTAAGTGCTACAGGTGCAGCTTTTCAGCGTACAGCCATTTGCAAATTGAAAAGAAAAGGCTCAGTTTGTGACATGGAATTGGGCAATCACAAGTGGACACTCCTTCAGCCTTCCTGTAATAACACATAAACGTGTTGTTGCACCTATCCTGCATACAATGTGTAATTCTATAAGAACAGATACAGGGCTGTATTTATTGAATATGTTTAAATGCAATATTTCATGTTTAGGGTTAAAAGCCAAAGTTTTATATTCTGCGATGTATCAATTCATTTCACAAAGCTGGTTTTCTTAAAGGCAGCCATATTTCTCCTTGTATGGTTTTTGATTCCCAAATGTGTCTAGGTCTTCTCCATAGACGAAGACATTCCTTGTTGTTGTACTGTTATTGTATAGTAGCAATATGTTCCCTGACTTCTGACAATGAAGACATCCTACACCTACATTAACAAGTGAAGAGCTGAGCTCACCTTCTATTTGGTGACCACCAGTTTCTGTAACTATAAATCTAAGCATTTTTAACTTAAAGCTGATGTAAAAATTCTGTGCTGTTGTACAAATCAGCTGAAATCAGTTCAGGCAGTCCTACACACCACTTATCAGTACTTATTTCACATTAGAAATTTGCACATCCAAGGGCATTTCTGTGCAGACCTGCAAACATTTAAACCTGACTCATTTTCTAACTATATCACATATGAAACCCCTATATATTCAGAAGCATTTCACTGTATACTTTCAAAGGCTACAAATTATTCTCTTTCTTCCACTGCTTTCAGCAACACAAAGTCTGCATTTGCTACAGAAGTCCCTGAGTGCCTTGTCCTGACTGTGGAGTCCATGCCCTGACATGGCTCTGGGGAATATGAGCTAACACACACTCTCAGATTGTCTGTCAGGATGAACTAGACAAAACCCTGGTTTTGCCTAATGTGGTTGTAAGTCAGGGCGAGTGTTACCAGAGCTAAATGCAGCTAGTCCCTCCCGTATTCACCTCTCACAGCTCTACCAACGTCCCACTAACAGTGGCCACAACCGGAACATGTCCCTCTCATAGCTGCTATCTGGCACTGGATTCCCCATGTAGCTAAGAACCTGGAAAATGTTATGGTGCTGCCAGTGGTTTCTGGACTCATAAGGCAATTACTTTCAGCCCTGTTCCAGAGAGGAAGTTTGTCCTGCTTGGCACCAGTGTTGTACTGTGGTATTATGTCCAAATGTGTGGGTTGTTAAGCAAAAATTTTAGCAAGGATTTTACTAAACTCACTGCACAGCATCAGGTTCCAAGGTTGGCTTACCGAAGTGTGAAATACTAAAGATGGCTGTAAATTGTTCAGCAAATGAGGAAATTATTTTTCTCCATATCTTCTCCTTCACATCTTTCAACAGAATGGCTGCAGTCCTAACCCATTGACCTATTCTAATAATTCTGAATAACCTATCAGACTTTGAGATACTGTTTGGCTGAAGTAGTTTTTTTAGCTGTACACTTATGCATAACTGAGTACCTAAAAAGATTTTTCCTTTTTTAAGATTTAATTTTTTTCTACAAATAACTCCTGTTAATGAAAAAAATACATATAACTTTTTTTTTGTTCCAGGCATACACTGAATCTAGGACTGATGAGATGTTCTTCAAATGTCCACCTTTAGTAACCCATGATGAATATTTAATAAAAGTAGTTTCAACATCCTCACAAAAAGTTAGGTTTAACAGCCTTTAAAAAAAGCACTTTTATGGAGATGTTACATTTTGAAATTAATATATATATTTATATATTAACCCTCAAGAGAAAGCTCGTGAAAGACCTAAGATCCATGAGTGAAAAAAAAAAGTTGTTAGACCCCAAGTTGAAACTGTTCATAGAAAGAAAAAAAAATTATACTCTTCAACAGAAAAGGAAAGAAGGCAAGCAAAATTACAAGCTGGCTAAGTAGAAAAACTCAACAGTAAGGTGTCTCTTAGAAATGGAATATTCAACCACTTGTAGCCAACAGAAACCAACTTTGTAAATTTAAACGGTACTTGCTTAAAGACAAAAAACAGTGTAAGAAGTTAACCATAACCACCCTTAAGGTATGTCCTTGAGAGCATCCAAGGGTATGTTAAACTACAGGGTAGATATGAAAAAAAAAAAATGCAGTGAAGCAAAACTGTATGTTAAGTCTTCTTCTGAAAGGATGCTGGCATGATAGTTAATTTCTCCATGTAATAAACTTGTAGGATCAAAAGGGAAAGTGATATACAAGAGGAAGGGCTTAAAAGTAAAGAGGCTGAAATACTAATTAAAAAAAAAGCTACTCTCTCATTGAAATCAGCACCTGTGCCAGGAAACACAGGATTTATCATCATCTTAACCCACCAGTACCTGTCACTCTGTGAGGAAGGCCTGACCACAAGGCTAATGCTGTCTTGCAGACCATACAGGCCCTGTGGTCGATGGGCACTGGAGTTGCAAATTTGTGATAAAAGGGAGTGCCAGGTCTCTGAAGACTGCAGGGCCTGCCCTCCAACTCATCTGCAAAACTGTGTCCTGTTCACCCCCTCACCCCCCCCTTAGAGTCTGCCCCTGTGACACAGGCATTTTCCTAGCGTTTTAGAGACGGCAGGTCCCACAAAAATTCCTCCTTGGAGAGCTCCTCTCATGTGTGTCATCCTCAGGGGTCACTTTGTTGGTCTGCATCTGAGGGGTGCCCAAGGAAGAGGCAATAGCTGACCCTTTACTGGACAGCAGATGCATCTTAACAGATGTTATTTTTCCTGGAATAATGTACATTGAAAGAGATTGTCCCAGAGTAAGCAATTATCCAGTATTTTAAAACTCCAAAAGGCTTCAGTTTGGTGTTAAGGGAAGTGACAAGCACTTGGAGAAGTCATTTAATCATCTAAGCAAAGTTACAAATAGATATGAGTAAATGGGGTGTGGGGGAGTAAAGACTTAAGCATGAACAGTATTTACAGTACCTAAAGATAACATTACTAATGTACCCACAAATAGAAGTATATATTTATATATTTATATATTGTACTTAATTAGATGCTCTATTAACAGAAAGAAAAACAAGACTACTACTGTTGTTCATTTCTCACCTATCCTATTGTAAATGCCTTCAAAAGGACTAACATGTACTGAAATCCAAAGCTAAATCTGTTTCAGTGAAGTAATTGAGAATGGCAAACCTCTGACGAAGTTTAGAAGAGGACAGATAAAAACATTACGACATAAGGGCACGGGACTCAATCTCATGTAATTCATAAAACAAAATTACACATCTGTTTTTTTTTTTTTCTTTCTTCTTTTTTTCCCTTTTGATTTCTACTTGGGCAGAGGTTCTACTAAGCCGCAAATGAGAAAAAACAAAATTTAGGTTGTTTTGTTTTCTTCTAAAGATTCAAATATAAACTTCAAGTGCAATTCAAAATCCAAATATTATTTATACTACATACTTCTTTCTACAACAGAAATTATCTGCAGGTAGTTTAATCAGATTTGAATAGATTCCTTCTTTGCTTTGACCAAAGTTATTGTTGATGAAAAATAAAAAGCTAAAAAGACTATTTTCTACATAATGTAATTTCAAATGGAAAGTGAAGATACACTAGTGCAGACACAAATTTGGATCTTCAACGAGATGCACTCAGGGATGCACAATTTTTTTTTTTGTAGTAAAAACCCCATTCAGAACATTGGCTTTTAACGATTATAAAACATTACAGGTATTCTTCAATATACAACTGAAAACAAAGACTGCAAAAAAAGAGCCTTCATATTAGCAAATGTTTCTACTATGGAGGAAAGACAATATTTGACAGGAATGCAAAGTAACCAAAAATTGAATACCACTAGACTATTTGTAAGGTCGTAGAAACCTGGAAACTTTTGATCGCAGTAGCTTTATAAATGATCTTGGAAACATCTCTTTTGACTCTTGTGCTGTGTACTTGAAATAGTTTTGTGGATGTGCCAGTACATCAAAGAGAGCTTTAATAAGTTTCTTGTCCTATGGGAGACAACATATGTATTAGATAAAAATAGTATTTGGATTTAGTTTCTGAACAACTTTCAAAATTAATGAACAACAACCAGGTTTTTTTTGCAAAACTTGATTCTGGGTAAAGCAGTGTAAGGAAACTACTCCATGTTGCTGTGGAGTTTTATTCCGACGAATCTTTCTCCTGTGCCAGACCTTTTTTTGCATTTAGCATTCCTGGAAGGTCCTGAACTGAGAGGGTAGCAGCTGGGTTAACCACAAACTGGCTGCAGAAGTTAGGCATTAGAATTGCAAACTGCCTCTGACTGCCATTCCAGCCTGTTTCAGGCTGTTGTCCAGGGCCTTTCCTCCACGAACAAGAGAGAAGGCTGGTCTTCAGTGACACTGAACTCTTTAAGGACCTTCTCCTGTGCCTTGGTAAAGTCTTGATTCAGAGCCTCAGGTGAGCTTGTGCCTGTATACACTGGAGTTAAGACCCAAGTGACCTCAAAGCTCTAATGAGCAAATACTGGCAGGGCTGGGGCAGGGATGGCCAGGGGAGCTGGCTGTTAATCAATTCCTGTCCTTCCAAGCTGTACATTTACAGGGCTGAATTTTGCCTTCTGAACAGCCTTTTTTTAGTTTTAATTAGTTAGTTGTTATAGGTGGCATCCCAGCAGTCTTCCTTCACAATTCTCTCCAGTGTGTTGCCTGTGCCTTTGGAAAACCACTTCATGGACAGCTTACAAGGCTACATTATGGTTGTGTCTTGTTGAGGCAGAACAGTGATTTAGGTAAATACATTTTTTAATGCACAGGAAATTCTAACTTAATGATTCATTTAAACACATGCCAGACTGAGGCTGAAGAAGGCTCTTCAAATAATAGGTTCTTCATGCTTGGCTGACTAATTTTTCTAACGAACAATCATGATAGCATACATTTCGTCTAGTTCCTGATTCAGTGAAGGACATACACATGTGTTCAGCCCAGCTGAGCTACTGATTTTGTGCTGCTCCAAATACCAGCATAAGCCTCAGAAGACAGAGAATTTAATTTGGGGTCACACTTGAGGTTTAAATATTATGACCTTATCAGGGTAATGAGAACTATCTTGGGAAAATATTTAGGAAAAGGAATTCTTGGTTAGCCTCAGATAAAGCAGAATTTTCTTACCTTTAGGATTTCTTGATGATTTTCTGATGCGTATAATCGTCCATCTCGAACAATGTCTTCTATTAGTTGTTGGTAATCCTCTGCAAAATAAAGATCAGTTGAGTGACTGTGACATTCTTTGGGAGGATAATAGCCAGACATTAGCTAGACCGCCTCTTCAAGACAGAACTGAGAAATTTAGTATCCAGTTAATTACTCAGTGTCTCTCAAGCTGCTGTAGTCTAATCGCATTAAAATTCTGTACTGCTTTAGAATAGTAATTTTGAGTCATCCTTATAAATACTAACTTATCCCCAGAAAACTACTCAGTCCAGATAATAATGCTTTATTATCTACATTTTAGAGATGAAGAAACAAGGCCAGGGATATGAAATAACTGTCAAAGGCTATACATGAAGTCAGCAGCGCAGTCAGGAACAGATCCTTGTTTTCTGCCCTGAGAACAGCTCTCATTTGGATTCTTGAATCACCTGCTTAATACACATTTTCTCATCATTCACAAAATTGCACTGCTGTTTGGAAAAGAGATGGACTAACAGCTGCCAAAGGTATCATAGAAAAGTCTTAGTTTTAGTTACATCCCAAAGTCCAAAATATACAGTTTAATGCATAATTTATATGACAAGCTAGATTGTTTTAAAACGTGGATTTATGACAGTGGTTAATGAAAGGATATTTCTTTTTGCATCACTGTTTTAGTTTGTTGGACTTGTGATTTTATTAACTTATAATTTTCAAAATTGTGTGGGTTACCAGTAGGACTTGATTGAAGGGGCTTCCTAAAATGCACAGCAATTAATGGTATTCTCATTATGCATATGATAAATGCCAATTAAAAGGAGTCTCATTGAATTCAGTGGGACAAGGATTAAGTTTAAAGAATTCTGTGTAACTTTCTGTCCATCCTTTAAGTATTAGGAAAAGTAATAAAATTAAAATTAGGTATTATTTCAAAGTCTTTGTAACTGGTTTTGAAGTAATTCACTGGACTTGAAATGAGTTACATCAAATTTTTCCTCATTCTTCTCTCTCTGTCATCAGCATAAGAGAGATTCTAAAGGACAACTTTCTATAATTCAGATATAACATGAAGATGGAAAACAATCCCATTCTCACCATCGTAAGTCACATAGGGGACCTGAAATCCTTTGCCACTGTTTCCTTCATTTGACTTGAACTGAATCCAGAGCTTCCTTGATCTTGAGGTAAATGCAATAGGTCTCTCATAAGTCTGACATGTTTCATATGTAGTAATTGAAGTAGGAGAAGCTAGAAAGAAGGTTAAATAAAAAAATAAATGTTCTTTATAAAATAACTTTTTGCACCCTTCCTGATCTAGAGGTCCGAAATATCAAATTGATAAGACACTTCTCAGCTGATGTATTCCTGAGAGCAGAAGTTTTTTGTGATAAAAGGGATGTTGCTGCTACCTGTCTATAAGGAGCAGTTTTTCCACAAAGGTAATGGGAACCTCTCCGTCCCACAGCAAGAAGCTTAAGTAGACAGCGAGGTGTCAGAGATATTTTTCTGAACATTTATAAAATTACTATCAATATTACTTGTTTTGTGTACTACTCTAGCATTGAATTCCAGGGTTCCCATATGCTGGGCCCAGATTGGTAAGAACAAGTCAGCTGCATCCCAAGCAGATGTGGTAACCAGCTCCTTACACGCCCAGTTTGGGGAGTTCATCTGAGAGCAATAAACCACTTCTCAGAATGTAATACCCTGGTGTAGTGATTCTGACCAAAAGACCATCGCACACCAAGGAGCTGGTGATCCACCAGTTAACCCGGGTACAGCCAGGCCTGTGCTGTGCTGCTTGTCCAGCGTGGCCTTCAGGTCTGTGTTGTGCCGCACAAATCCCGTGGCTGCAGGATAACCTCAGCCCGCTGGTGGTAATGAGAGGAACTTGCAGGCAGCTCCCACTTGGTACCAGTGACTATGCTACTGTGTGGCCTTGCCTTTAACTAAAAGTGCAGCAAGAAGCACTCATGAGAACATTGTTTCTGTTTGACAGCAGAAATTATAAAGTTGTTTCCTTGTAAGAAAATCCTGTAATGGCTTGAATGAAAGGGCAAAATCTCTTATAGAAGAGATAGGACAGGGTGTGCCCAGCATGCTGTGTGTGGATCAGAGGCCATTTGATACCTTTGGTTCCCACCATCTAAAGGGATGTAGGATTATCTATACTATTGTCTCCTTATAATGATAGCTCTAATAAATAGCATTTAAAATGATACCTTACAGAGTCTCAGTGCCTTTCTTACTGGGATCATCATGGACCAGCACCTCCCAGTGCAAAACACCTGCTTGCAGCTTTGAAAAGAAAATGTCATTTTTTACACTGAAACGGAGCTAATAGCTGGGAACCAGGAAGACCCCATTTGCCCCTAACGTAAGTAACAGATGGAGGGTGCAGGATGTCTTCAAGTCATTATGAATGTATCATAAGGCTCCTCTAAGTTGAAATGAATTTCAAACAAAAGTTAAAAATAGCTTCTTACCTAGTTCAAAAAACCTACTCCATAGCCACAGGATGATTAGGGAAAATAACAACTGTAGCGTAAAATCTGAACTTGCTAGGGCTGATTCAACTTTCACCAATGTTAGCAAAAAGAGACCTTTTGAATTGAATGGGATTTGGATTCTTGAAGTGCAAAATAGTGGATCTAACTGTAACTCTGGAACTGCCATTAGTTTTTCCACAGTAATGTTAGCAGCTGACTGTACATGAACTGTGATGAATATTCATAAGATCTACTCTTAGGATGCCAAACATACAGTGATCACAAAGCAGAACTCTGAAAAACTGCCCTCATTTTCCATTTCCATTTGGTACTGAAGTGGAGGTCAAACGTTTCCCTGATGTGCCTGGCTTTACTCACTGTTGGAACCACAGTTTGGGATTAGAAGGATGACTAGTTTGTTTTGCTACAGTAAGTGCTTTGCTTTCAAAAAACTCATCTGGACAGATACAATTTCCTTCCATCCAGCAGGTTTCTTCTTCTGATATACAGAGATGTCAACACACGCCCTCAAGGATAAAAAGTTGTGAAAATTGTTTCAACAAATAAAATACACTGTTTTAGCAAGTAAAATATGCTGTTTTAAACAAAGCTCCATATGAACAATTGCCTTTCAGGTTTGGTGCTTCTTGGAGATTTAACAAGAGATCTCCACAAGCTGGATGCCTGCATAGGACTGAAGGAGGAGTGCATCTTATTGGTGTGTCAGCTTCAGAAGTTGTTGAATTAACTTCATAATCAAAGACACAACTCACTCCCCACTCCACATAAAATTGGGAAAACTTTGGATTTCTTGAGGGTGTCAGGTGTACCAACCTGTGTCACTGCCCAGACTTAGCAGTATATACATACTTGCAAATGGTAAGTGAGAGCACAATTTGTACAGATGACAGGAGACAGCTCTCCCAATATAACTTAGCATAGCTTTGTTGACTTCTAGAGTGGCAGTGATCTATCCCACATGATAACTGGGCCAGACAGAAGCCCATTAACTGATTTGTGATTCAGCCAAGACACTTGAATAATTAATATCACTCTGTTAATTGTTATTGGTACAGTGTTCTGTTTTAACTTGCAGTGCCAGTTCATTCAATAATCCTTTTAGAAACACCGGATAGATGAAGACAGTCATCCCTTCAATACGAACTTTCCACTCAGCCAGTTTGCAATAAATATTTCTATAACCCATGTCTGGCAACTTACCACTTTTTCTCATGACTAAAACATCACCACATTCATCTTCAATCGGGAGAAATATCTCAGGTACTACGATGAGTATTCTTCTCTTTGGGGGTGGATTTATATTCCAAATGCATTCAACATTAGCTGGGTAGTCTCCAGGATAGTTGGGTGATTCAATGTAGCCAGTATAATCCCCAAGTTCTCCTCCACAGTGCTGGTCTGTGGAGAAACATAAATTAGCATTTGTGTTAGCTGATTAGCTAATTTGAGGTGTTTTTCTAGATCTGTCAAGAGCAAGTCTAAACTCCTCCTTGTGGCTTTAGAAATGCATACATTCTCCAGCTGCCTCTTTGTTTAGCACGGAAAGCCTTTAAAGGAATACTTGATCTGCAGGGCTGCTCCAACTGATTTGCAAAATCTTAATGCTGGGTGTATAAACTGATTCAACACTTCATTCAGGCTGCTTTAACATTTCATTAAGAAATGAACACAGGTAAGTAAGCATGATCCCACTGTGGAGGTACTCACATGGTGGTTACCACTGACACCATGCTGACGTGCAGAAGGTATTCTGGTTTAACTTCGCTTGTTTTTTAACCTGATTTAGCTGAATGAGTGTGATGATCCTAATAGCCAACCTTATCTTGATTACAGATCTGCCTTGCTTTATCTTAGATTAAACCAGTTAATAAGGATCTCCACTAACAGATCAGTTTTACTTTCTGAGTTTTCAAAACTCCTATTGAATTTGCCACAGAAGCCTCATTCAGTAAGTTACTTAAGCTTGATCTCTCCAGGCCTACTCACCCACATGAAACTAGATATATGTTTAAATATTTTGCTTAATCCAAGCCTCAAAGATTATGAAAGGTCAGAAATTGGCTTGAAAACAGGGAGTATCTAAGACAGAGAAGTGAAAAGGATGGTTTTATTTTACAGGAAAATCATCAGGCTTCTTCAAATTCCTCACAAATATCTAATTTAAATTACATTAGAAATTATGATAGACTTCAAAGACACATGGCACATCATCAAAATAAAAACTTATGATAGACTTGCAAATGAATAGTTAGTTTAGATGACATTACCTAATTATTATAGAGACGGTCTCTTAAATTAGCATGGTAGAGATGAAGAAAATTGCTTCCCTAAAAGAATCAGCCATTCACAAAAGATCAAATAAAATTGAACTGGAATCCTTAGGGATATTTATAATGTTAATTGAAGATAGGAGGCTGAGTACTGCAAAAAAGCCTATGAGAAGATTTCACTGTCGTGAGCGATTACCTGGCAATTGCAGTATGCATGACCATATCTCCTAGTATTTTATAATTATTATAAAATGGCAGTTACTCTGATAGAAGATTTTGTACTCTACAGAGACACAGAGGAATATGTATCACTGCAAGCCAACTTAGAGGATATGGAAACCAAAAGCTCTGTAGTTTTAAATTGTAGCTGGCACTCTGCCAAATTACATTAAAGCTAAAACGATCATATGCATCAAGTGGCACTTTTCCAGTTTTTTTTCTCATTGTTTTCCCAATTCTTACAATTCCCTCTGGCAGTAGATATATGCTAATTAGGAAATACAGAATTGAAGTCCAGCCTGACAGATGGAACCTTCAAGTTGCAGTTCAGATCCAAAGATAGGTTTCATCTCACAACTAATATAAATGAAACTTACTTTTGCAGTGTGTAACGTTAGTGGAGCCATCAAAATCAGTACTTGTGTTCCCAGGGCAGGTGATGCAGTAGTTTTGACCAAACTCAGGCTGGTATGTTCCCACAGGGCATCGGATACATCTGTGTGTTGTAGAGTTGTAGTAGTGTCCAGGAGAACAATGAACTGTGAGGTACGAGGTGTATTATTTTCAGAAAGTAGCAATCTTCAGTGCAGAGAGAACTTTCCTCTACCCTGGACATATGTCACGACCTCTGTTTCGCAGTATACTTATTAGACCATAAAAGGCAAAAAAGACATCATCTCCCTGTATTTGCCATTATAAAGGACCTTCTAACTAGGATTATGTTCCAAAGATTAGAGCTAAACCCTTAAAAACTTGTAACATGTGCTACATAGGTCTCTCACTGTATTTAATACAGTGGTTTCCAATGAGTTTGTAACAAATGGAAGCTGATACCTATCTGCCTCAACAATAAAAATGCCTTTCACAGTAGCAAGAGAGAGGTTTCCATTAGTGTCTGTTTGCCAGGGCCAGCATGTCATTCCAGTAACTAAACCAAAATGCATTTGGGCAGATTCCTTCTTCAGCATCTGCACTCCAAGTTGACATTATGGAACACGCAACACGTTGCACGCTTACAGTTTCTGCCTAGCCCATTAATAATCAATCCTTAACTTCATATAATTTTTGTAGTGTTTAGTTCTAGTTTGGTAAATAAAAATATACAGGATGTGAAGGCTAAAGCACTGTCTAATGGAAGTTTGTCTTATTTCTTGCCATGCAGCAGAGCCAATTCACTTACCAGCTGCAGTGCTGACTCTGCACCTGCCTGTGGTAAATTCCAAAGAAAACCATAAAGCCTGTTAAGTCTCTGCAGCTTTGGGAGATCATTCCTAGCTTCTGGATTTCCTGACCATTTAATTTAATCACACACCGCGTTTCTACATACAGTGACTATGTTTGTTTTGGAGCCTTTCAAAGCCCCTTGGCATTGAAGATTACAAACAAAAGGGCAAGCAGCGGGAATATGAATTGTGGAGCGATTTTAAATTCACCTTTAGTTTCGCAGTCTTGAAAGGAAACAGCACCTTCATACTTGGTCACAAGCCCACCGCCACATGGAAAGCAGAGGGTCCTTCCTGGTTCAGGCTGGTATGTACCAAGAGGACAGACTCTACAAGGTTTAAAACCATCTGAAGAATAGTGCCCAGGAGAACACTGCCCTAGAAATTGAAAATGATCATCTGTATTAGTGAGCTGACTCTTCTGGACAAAGTATAAAGCCCACTAGTAGTTAGCAATGCTTCCTTTAACTTAAAGATGTGACAACAAGGCAGCTGCAGATCAAATTCGAATCTTACCTGCTGATTTTGTATTGTTCCTGTAACTGCTTCCTAAAAACACCACCAGTAAATTCAACTAGTTTCTTAATAAGCTCTTTGCTACCTATGTTTCTGTTTGGTTTTTCTTTTAGCAAGGGCTCTATTAAGATGTTGTTAGAATACTTTGTACTTTCACCAAGTCTTTCATCTGAGAATTTCAAAGCACTTTGTAGGAAAAAATGAATCTTTGCACCAGATCTATGAAGCAAGTAATTGTTTTTTTATATCTCCATTTATAGATGCAGAAACAGTAGAGTATGAGATTTACCAGACTGGATGGGACCAGTCGAGCACCCTGTCTGTGAGAAGAGCTGACACCAGCAGCTTTCCAGGTAGCTGTGAAAACTAGTGCTTGTCAGAAGCTCTTCTGCCAGAAAATGGTGATTTGTGTAAAGCAAAGCACTTCTTTGTGAATGAGTCTACTGACAGATACAAGGTAGTTTCCAAACTTGCTCTCCAGGCAATTTCTGATAGGTGTTTGTTTAGCTTGGTTCTTGCTAGCTTGAGTACTTTACTCCTTGACAACCTACCTGAGAATCAGGATGTCAAGTTTTTCAAGATTATGGCGTTAATGCCTATCTTCACACCACCCCAGCCTGGGAGACCAGCACCTTGAGATGTTAGGTGTTCCCTGAGGTTGCCTAATCCCAATACTTTGTAATATAGCTTCCCTGAGAACTAAACAGCAGGCAGAAACAACTGGCTTGAAAACTTGAAAGTTTTGAGGACTCTAGGTGGGGTTGGGGTCTCTTAAGAACCCTGATACTTACTAGGAAATGCTGGGGGTTTCCAGTATCTTGGGTACTTGGCACTTAGGATGAACCAGAGCTCCAGAGCGAAAGCAAAGTTCAAGTTCTGTCCCCACAAAAGTCAAACTATGGACACCTGTGGGACCAGGAGTTCTGGGATTTAGTTGCGCTTCCATCCCAGCTGGCTGGAATATGACTGTACAAGCTGGCTGTTGTGACACAGACCTCTGAGAAATATTATATTACTAATTTGAAGACACTTCTGCTATTGTTTTTGCAGCAAAACTGATCCATCTGGTCTGGTCCAACTGGTCACTGTACTTTAATATGAAGGCAGTTAATGAAGAGCAGATTTGGATCTGGATTTTAGTATGAAAATTAAGTACATGTGGAGCATGGCTTACACACATCCTTTTAAAGAAGTGATACAGTTGGGTTTTAATACTGCTAAATATCTGATGCTTTCAGCACTCATGTCTCAGTCCCTACCTGTATATAAGAATGAGCTAACTTGCTCCCTTCTTGCCTTCTGTATTGGAATTGCCAACAAAATAGATCTGAGGGGATTTCCCTGAGAAATCCCCCAAATGACTAGGTTTTCTAATTGTGTTTTGGCCTTGTACCTACATGGATCACATGTAAATTAAGTAATCACAGCATGTTATTCACTTGCAGCTACAACAGAGTTCTACACAATAGGCACTTAAAACCTCTTGCACAGTTGTTGTACGTGCCTCACCTGTAGGGGTGAGGATTTCAGTCATAGCTTATTTGTTACTACACAGACATTACTGCTGCAGAAGATATGATGCAAAAATACTACTGACTACAGCTGGTGAGTACATTTCTAACAAAATCTGTGTTCATCAAAATACACTGTTTCATCACATATGCTGACAGATTTTATGGAGACATACTCATTTTGATAAAATCTTTGACAGGGAGGTTTATGAAGTCCAAAGCATATTCTCTCTTGCCACTTTCAGAGAAAGAAAAAAGGGGAGAGTTGAGGAGAAAAACAGACTGTTGTGATCTGACAACAAACATTTTGAGACAGATCCACTCTGCAAAAATAATCAGAAGGGTTTCTTTTTGTTGTTATGCAGAACAGTAATTCAAATGCAAGCCTTGGAACAACACAGTCTTTCTCCCCTAGTTATTGTGCTGCTTTGGTCAGTATTCTATAGTCAACCTCTACAAACTCAGTTTTTATTTTGATAATCTATTCTTGTTGGATTTTGGATACATACAAATCAACATAACAAAGATGCACAGGAATATCAAGAATTTTCCTGTGATAGTTCCTTCATACAGTAAATCAGCAAAATCTACTGTATGTTTGGACTGGAGATACTAGAGTTATTTTTTATTCAGTGGATGGGGAAAAAGCAGCAGTTTCTCAAGTGACATTCATTGTGTGTTCACTCCAGATATCCTTGAAGAAAGCATTAATGTAAATTACATGGATGAGTTTTAAAGTTAGAACTTGTGTTGCAGACAGGACAGATTTCTTTCAAAGTCAAATAACGTATCTGCTGTAAATTAGATTTTGGTCACCTGTAATGAAATAAGGTAAAGAAAATAATTAACAGTTGTGTCTTAAAACCTTATCTTGATCAAGTTACAGTAGAAGAACAGCTCTCTTCTGAAATCAGGTATTCTCATCATTATCATCTAATTTATGTATCATGAAGTTGAGTCAGAGATGCTACATCACTTGCCAAAAGCTACAGTGAATTCAAGCAGCGTTGAAACTAGCAGTCATTAGCTCTGAGTCCAGGTTACAGATCCCTGCAGCATAACTATCTCAAAATTATGGTTGCTGCTGATTAGACCAGGTAAACTGCAACTCATGCAAAACATTAAATCAGCAAGTTCATTAGACTCACCAATACCAGTCCAAAGTAATCCATCCCTTTGGCTCACAATATACCTAACGAGTCCTTACAAGTCGAGGTATGTCCCGATTCCATACCTGACTTGAAGCAAAGTGCTTTGCTTGGCTTGCTCATTTCCATACCACAACTCACATTGCTGTAGCAGGTCCCATCTTCTTGTCGGCAATGTCAGTGGATGGAACAAGCCAAAACATTTTGCGTATTGCTTGTAAGCACATAGATTTCTTCTGTTACCCTTACAAGACAGAAGTGTGGAAGGCTCTCTCCACTTTCAGCCTCCATGCCTCACAGGCTCTGTGGCAACACCTAATCCTTTTATAATCAAATTAAACTTGCCTCCACATTCTGACACATTCCGGGCGCCTGCTACTCCCTGTCCATCGTTACTTGGGCAAGGCTCACAGGTAAGTTGACCTTCTGTGTCTTGGTATGTTCCTGGTGAGCAAGGAATGCACTGATTATGTTCTCCGCTATAAAAGGTGCCCGTGCTGCAGGTAACTGAGAAAAGAAAAGGGGAATCTACATAAGGACTTTCATTTTGATCACATTATTTGCCTTCATTGCAAACATTTAGAGAAGATGGATCTCTTTGGCCCCAGTATTATAGTTGCATATGTTTTGCATATGTTAGTCCAGGATCCTCACCTAATGTAAACAGGACTAGCTCCACTGTGGTCTAGGTCAATTTACATCAGGGCGAGGTCCTTCTTCTATTGTTTAAGCTGTTAAATGGCATTGTACTGCACTGAGGTGTTTATCAGACATACGTTGTTAATAAAGCTGATGCAGTCTTAAAATGATATATTGCAGTTTAATTAGAACAGTGGTGCATAACATATGGGAAGTGATGTGAATTCTTAGTTTACACTAGGTGCATTTACATGTTGGTTTTATGGCAGACAACTACAAAAAGTCTGTCTCCTGAGATCAGTTCTAGAGATTTCTCTGAGGGCAATGTATCTTGACACTCAAACACCCCAACTGGAAAGTGTTTTCAGTACAGATATGAATACACGTGCTTTTCTTGCTGCAACAGGGCACATAACTGCAGTAAACATTTTTCTCTGCTGGATATAGGTAGTTAAAATGTATGGGTTTCTAGACACTAATAGCAACAGTCTTTCCATACAGTTTCTAAATCACTGTTCCTATATGAAAACATGTTCCTATATGATGAAAACAGCCTCTGAACCAACTCATTAGAGGCACCTACCAGATCTGCACTTAACTATTTGGTTTTGCTTGTAAATCACTTGGTGTCTAAAAGAAGCTGGAAAAATAGATATGTTGATTTTGAAAAGATGACTCTAAGTTATTAGAAAGCTCGCAGTGCTGAGAACTGCCATTAATAGGTTTGCACTAGCACCCTGCCCCCAGTAAAGCACTAGAGTTTGATAACCTCAGAAAAGGCTTAAAGAAATTAGGTATTCATAAAGTTAAAATAGATTTCTATAGATTCTTTTTTTTAATTGGACCTCTTGAGTGTTAAATATATATATATATATCTATATATATCTCCATGGGTCACGGATTATTTGGTGGTGAGGACAGTGAGAGAGGTGATATAAAACTCAATACAGAGCATCTAGGCAAACACCATATTATTGTTTTACAGAACTGTAATGTTTTCGTAAGATGCTGGGAGTAACTGGGAACTATTTGCCAACATTGCCTTGTGGCAGGCCTTGATACATACCAACTGATATCATGGGAAATGTATGCATATATATGCTTCTTTTGTTTTCCTGCAATCATTTAATGAACTCCCTTCAAAGTCTTCTGAACTGTCAATGGTCCATGCACATATGCTGAGTAATACTGATCTAAATCGTCTGTTACCTCATAGATTTCCTGCCTGGCTCACTATGGACAAGTTAATTTTGGATTGCTTGTTTTGGGGGATATGGCTGAATAGAGTTGTTGGGACTTACCGCATTTTCCATCCTGCAGCACTTGCCCTGTACTGCAAGCTTCATGCCCTTCAGTAGCTTTAGCTGGCTTCTGAGCCACTTCATATTCTGTCCCAGAAAACTGAATGTAAAATTGCTGTTTATTAATAGATTTCCTCAATGTTTTGATTGCAGTTTGCAGCTTCTGCTCCATCCTTTTCCGAACACAGTCAATGTTACAGGTGTCTAGATGGGAAATGATAACAAAACTAGAAGCAATTGAGATTCATGTTTAAAAAGGGTGCTTAACAAAAAGCTTAGCCTGCATCACACTATGACACCTCTGTTTGCTTCACTGTCTTCTCCATACAAATTGTAGAAGCAGCTTACTGTATTCAAAATCAGGCTTTTAAAGGGACAAGACAGTACACTGAGGTCCATCAAACTGAGTTTCATGGCCTGCAAGCGCGTACCGAGTGCTGCTATCGTATATCTAGCATTAAGAAATTGGTTATACTGAGTGCACAGGGAGAGGGCTGCAGAAAGTATCAATCCCACTGTGTTGTACTTCCAGTTATGCGTTCAGTCTGCCACCACTAATGTTTCTGAATTTTGTCTGCCTGTGCTTTACTCAGCTGATTGGGAATTATTCCCACTTCCCTGACCAAAATACCCGACTGACATAAAGAAAGGTGCTTTCTGGCACGATTACCGTTTGAATCGCTTTGCTAGTAAGGTATCCCTCAGGGTTAAGAAACCCGCCTTTGAGGACTGACATGTTTATAGAATTCAGACCACGTTTTCTTTGGCTGGGTTTTATAGCATAATATTCCATCCCGTGAATAACTTGAAGCAATTCTTTTTCTTCCTTGAATTTGTTATGCAAACATGAATTTTCCAAATGTGTGATAAAAATGTTTGATTCTCAGACTGAAGTTTCAGCAACTTAACATTTTGGAGGATATTTTTATCATCATCGTTGCAGAACTTCTACCTAATCCTTACATTCTCTGTGCATCAATTAGCACTTCTGCTGTTTAAAGAAATCAGACTAAATTGAAGTACATGACTTAACTCGAGGCTTTGAAAGAATTTTGCTGCAGGTTCAATCTTTGTTCCTTTGGCTTAATTTCATACCTGATTCCTTTCAATTAAATCTCTGAAACTTTGAGTTTGGAAGGGCTGTCAAATGAGGCTTGTGCTAAAAGGTTTGTGTGGCAGCTTGATGAAATAGCATCAAAGAGATTCTAACACACTGAGGAACTGAATTCTGATTTCTCTCCACAGACAAATCTTTCACAAACCTGTGACTTCTTCTGACTTCATCTCCACTTCAAACTCTGCGGTGATATGGGATACTTCTTTTGATGGTGACTTGCGGCCTCGGCGTTTTTTCTTGGAGGAATCGCACTTGAGATTCACGAAGGTCACCTGGCAGTTGTCTGTACAAGGGAATTGACCTCCTTTGCATAAGAGAAGCAACATAGAAAAGAAATCAAGTAGCAAAGTAGCAAGTGGCAGGCTAATAAGCGATATCTCAGCTGGGTTATCACGAATGCAGTGACAGGCTTCATAACATTGCACATGTGTTGTTAGACACCTCCTTCTCTGTGCAATTTTGGGTTCGCTCATTTTCCTAGTGAACGCAGGAGGCAAAAATACGGTGTGGTGATGCTCAGCTGCACAGTGGTACCTTTCATGCCTGTAATTGCCTGTCTCTCTTCTGCATAAGGATTAGAAAGCTCTTTACAGAAACTAGTTAAGATCAGCAATACTATATACAGTCATTTGATGGTTAACAAAGCAAGAGAGTAAATTTTTGTAAATTCATGAGAGCGGCAGGCCTGGGCCTCTAGAAACTACCACCTGGTATTCCAACCCTTCCAGCAATGACAATCAAAGGTTTTAAAAGCCTTTGATTGGGAGGTTATGAAAATATACTAGAAGGCTTTATCTGAGGGGAAATCATAGAATGACAGAATCGTTTAGGTTGGAAAAGACCCTTAAGAACATCGAATCCAACCGTTAGCGTAACACTGCCAACTCCACCGCTAAACCACGTCCGTAAGTGCCATGTCTATACGTCTTTTAAATACCTCCAGGGATGGTGACTCAACCACTTTCCTGGGCAGCCTGTTCCAATGCCTGACAACACTTTTGGTGAAGAAACTTTTCCTAATATCCCATCTAAACCTCCCCTGGCACAACTTGAGGCCATTTGCTCTCATCCTATCACAAGCCAGAGGAACTGAATGCCCTCATCAATTATGTGTAACCACTGAGGAGAAAGGCCACAACCTGTTGGGACACAATCACATAAACAGCCTCTCCCTATATAAAGAAATCTATGTGAAAAACATGCTTTTTGTGATAGGCAATGGACCTTCCAGGTCAGGGAGAAATTTCTAGCACTCAAGCCACCAGTGTGTGGTTGTATGATATAATCTTTCTGTTAGACCCAGAAGTTCAGATGACATAACGAACACAAAGCAAAGCAAGCAAAGGACAAGAAAACGCCTCCAAGAAATACATTCCTGTGGTGACTGTATGGACCAAAAAAACCAACTTCTATGACTTTAAAAATTAGTCTGATAATCACATCTTATTAAAAGAAGACAATACATAAGGACAAGGTAAGCATCTTGACAACTGAGACTTGTTTTAAGCTTATACTTGGAAAATTAGAGAGATAAATGTCTAGACTGCAGGGTAAAGATAAAATATGAGTCTAAATTTTAAAAATAAAATCTTTAAACCATTAGCATTTTTTTAGGATAGCTATTTTTACTCTTCTCTGTTCAGGGCTCAAATATGGCTCCTCACTCACTAGCAAAAGTGGTGGTAAGACAGATCCACAACAGAGTATATCACCAGCAGACGTTTGCTGTAAGCTGCTAAATTGCTTTAAGCCACAAGAGGAGCTGTTGCAATTACACCAATACTGTGTATTAAAATCTGGAAAATTTTGAGTTAATATTAAATTTAAATGAACTCCAAATATTTTAAGCTGTGGAAATGCACAGCAATAACAGCCAAACACTCTTTAATTGTCCCTGTCATAATATCAAGGGGATGGAGGACAAGAAATAAATGTAATGAAGATCTGTTAAATCCATATAACTTTTAAAACCTCTTTTTTGTTCAACTTTAAAAGTGATGTTCAAAACTACTACTAATAGAAGCCCATACTTAGTCATACTGAGTTTTAAAAACATTTGATTACTTTGATTCAGCCTGAGAAGAACTTTTTTTTCATTTCAAATTTTTGGTAATTAGGTCTAAATTTTCTGAATATTTTTTCTAACATCATAACTATTCACTCCAACATAACAAAAGATCTAAGGCTATGTAACATCAGATTTTGATTATAACTTTCCCACTTAGGGGTTGTCTTTGCTGCTGCAATGGGATATTAATCCACCATAAAGCAAATAAATAAAAGCTTTTGTTTTCTTTTATAAACCTCATTTGGGAAAACTAAACCAAACCAAACTGACATTGTTTCATCTAACTTTGCATTGGTCATTGCTTTTTGTCTCAGGATATTTCTGCCATTACCAATGCCAGAAAAAGGATCAGCTTAATTCCAAACTCATGTACTTTTGAACAAAGATTTTTCAAAGCAGCTGGTGACACTTCAGCACTGTTAGATCCAAACCCAAGGCACTGTTCAGCTAGAGTGTGAACCTTGGCCTGAACTTAAATTCAGATCCAGATATGAAAACCATTACTTTTTTTTTTCCATCTGCAGTGTGAAAACAAAATATGCAAACAAGCAAGCAAGCAAACAAACAAAAAATTAGAATGCTGTTTACATGTTAGAAGAAACCACGTACCTAAAACAGCTTGCTTCCCAGAATCTTTTGCTTTTTCTTTGCTGCGAGGCCGTAAATGGCACTTTGCGTCTTTAATTTTAAAACGAGCTTTCTGCTTGATTGGAGGGGCTAATGAATCTGTTGATATAAAGTAAAAAAGCTATCATTTGGGATGCAGATGAAATGAAGTCTGAAACTTATTTTTAAAAACAGACTCAAAAGTCTTCTTGTGACATAGAAGACAGCGTACAAGCGGATCCATTTCCATGAGTTCATTTTTTCACATAAGCACTCGCTCTCGAGCCCATAAAGATCAATGAATTTGCTAGTATCGCACATGCTCTGCACATACGCTTCCCCTCCAGCAGGCCTGCACCTCTTGGTGGATTTGGGTGAATTTGTCTTACTATGAAAAAGGTTAATTCCTACCTTTTTTTTCTGACTCTGTCTGTGACTTCCCATGTTACTTGGCTGTAGTTCTGCTCTTGCTAACGCCAACCAGGAACAAGATTAATTTACTGGAGCTACGCTGTTGGCAGTTGAAAACCATCCAAAGCAAACGTCTTTATTTGACTGTGGTCTATGGCTTGCAAGCTTTATTCTTCAGCTTTAAATCCAAGCCAGTTATGTCTTGCGACTTTAAAGGCTGTTATGCAGCCATGCACTGCTTAGAAAATGTAGCTGCTGGCCGACTCCCTTGCTAAGCCCATGGTGGAAAAGGCCGGGCCTGGCCCGTTGCCTGCCAGCCGCTGCGGGCTGCCCACGGGACCTGGAGCAGGTGGAGGGTGGTCGCAGGGACGTGCCGCAACGTGGGTCCCTCTTTCCTTGGGAGGGCCTTGCCGAACCAGGACTATAGAGGTAGCCTGCCCCTGTGCCACAGGCAGACATATCCTCTGCCGTGTTACGTCACTCCACAGCATCGTACCTCCTAACGCATTCCAAATACGTAAGAAATACAAAGTTAGAAAACTGGCAAATTGGAGAGAAGTACAGCAGGTAATGATACCTAAAGTGGGCTTGCACTTCCCACTGCTCGATGCTGTTTCAGCTGCTGCTAGTTTTGCCAGACTTCACAATTTTGAGCTGAACTTTTCTTTTATGCCAAGCATCAGCTTTAAGACACATTTTGAAATGCCTCTGCAAAAATAATCCAGCTATTCCTGAGAACAAGATGAATGAAACACAGTATGTACTCATAAAAGCCTCATAACCTTTTTATTGGGAATCCCCAGCAGGAGGGTCTGTGCTCCTGAGGAAGGACTTTGCAGGTGAGGGCTGGGACCCACCGTAGCCTTCTGCTCTTGTGCTACTGATGGGCCCCTCTGGCTCCTTTCCAAGTCTGGGAAGAAATGCCACTTTGATATGCTCGCTACTGCCTTGCTCGACTACAGAAAATAAATTACTCTATGTCCTTACTGAATATATCTCAAACCTTCACCACTCCGACAGTGACCTACCAACACCATGCCACAGTGGAGGGCAACTAAGTACGCTCCGGCCCCCAAGGAGAGGCTGCCAAAAAGCAAGTGCGTGCCTGATGAAACACAGGCTACCTTAATTCTGCCCTTGTGTAACTTGAGAGCTGTACGTCTTGCAACTCCCAAATGGTCTGGGGGACCTCCATCACCTACCTCCTAGACGCCAAGGAACAGGTGGGCAGGAGAGCACCTACCTGCGCAGCTGGGCAGGGTCGCATTGCGTTTCTGCAGAGCCTTGCCTTGCTGGACAGGAATGCCACAGCTCAGTGTGTAGCTGTTCTCCGAATCTGCGGAGCAGAACTCACAGTCAGCACATGTGGCAACAGCCTTGCAAAGCCTCTGCTCCCCTCGTCACACCAAGCATTAATGTTCGGTGCTTGAACAAAGTTATTAATACTGCTAAATAAGGAGGCATTTTAAGTGCTGAACTTGGATTTTAAATGGCTGAAATAGTTTGCCAAGGGCTACTGCTTCACAGTGTTGACTACATGTGTTGTTTCATTTCTTCCAGCACTGAAATGTTACATTTTATAAACAATTTGGCATGAGGTTAGCTGTAAATAATTCCATGGTGCACAAGTAGAAAATATTTTGTGTTTGTCCATGGCAGAGTCCTTGTGCTTTGATCATCTCTATAATTTAAAAAATAAACCATGTACTTTCATAATAATTTCAGCTTCAGACTCTGACAGAATTTATTGGCAGAAACAAAAAATAACATACTTAGAACCATAACAGGGTTTACATATTGCACAGATAAAACTGTGTATTGGTGCATACAAATTAGATAAATGCATGGTTCCAGTAATCTCTGCTAAACTGAAAATAAAGTGTGAACAGCTCTACCACATATAATGTCAGGACTAACATGAAAAGTAGAGACACTCTTGCGGAAAATAATCCTGTGTCAGAACCAGAACATATATGGAAAAGCAGCAGCAATCCCCCCGCCCCACCTGCCCTGCAAAACTCTGTAGATGACAATTACCTGTAGCAAATGATACAACATCAACAACAAAAAAGGGATGTGTGTGTGTGTGTGGTGGAATAAGACGAAATGCCTGGATTTCTATAAATAACACTCAGCTGAACCATTACCAGCAAAATTTATTAAAACTCAGCAACTGCAGCAACTAATACTGAGAGATCCTTTTTGCCATACAGCCTCCTGAGACAGAATTAGTTGTATCCATTTTGTATGAGACAGTAAGACAGGTTTAGAGCTGTTGCTAGGTCATCCTCTGCACCACAGCGCCCGTGGCTGAGCTGATGGAAGTTTTACGCTACCCTGGCTGGCGTGGGAGCTTGATCGTGTGCTGTGGCAGTCACAGCATTAAATTTCCCAGTGTATCCCACCTGTCCCCTCCTGCCCCCGGCTCGGACTGCGCTCGCCGAGCTGAGTTCCTCCCAGGGGGACCCTCCGCTTTGGGATTCATTTCTGCTCCTGCTCAATCGCACAATTACAGGGTATTTCAGGCTGTGATGCAGGGTCCATCATTTTAAGCAGATGCCTGGATAGGCACAGGGGACTTGACTCAAGTTGAAAAACATGGTACTAAAAATTAGCAGGAATTCACTGAAATCAACCGTGCGTTTTCTCCCTCACTTTTGATGTGGCAATTCAGTATATTAGAATTTTTCTTTTGTACCATCCTGGTTAAGGTAGACCTGTCTCTGAAGTTTTTGTTAGAATTTCTCCACTCCTGCAGATTAAACAAAGGGTGAGACCTCTAATGTAACCGACAATCAGCTTTTCTTGTATTTGGTGATGTGCATGTCTGGCCCAATTTGATGTATGGTTTTGCTCATTTACAGCTGTCCATAACAAAAACTGAATGCAAGAATCATGAACACGTTAGCAGAGAAAAATCATCAAGTCACATTCTAGACTTAGGAGGACAAATACTTTGTACAAACCTGGAACAAAAAGAGTATTGGATGGGCATGACAGGAAGCAGCTCTCTATGCCTCCTGTCTTACTACACACTAGCTGAGCCTTGGGAGCTGGTTTGGCATTTGGGAGACATTTCACCATCTCTGAGGAGAAAAAAAAAAGAGAAATGAAAAAAAAATCAGACGCTGCCCAACGCAGAACTTTGTGCGTCCACTTGCATACAGTGGTGAGGAAAGGTAGAAGTGGCAACAGAGCAAAATCACAGGCCCAGGCATTTCTGAAGTAAGCATGTATTGGGGAGAGAGTATCTGGATCTTGAGGACTTGAAACTCCTTCACAGTTTTAGACCTAAACTCTAGATCAGTCTTCCCCTCCTATCATCCACTTTGGGACCTGCACTCCAGAAGGCAGGTGTGTCTCTAATTATGAGCACAATTCTGCATGCACGTCTTGATCTCAGAAACAACAGGTAATACTAATGACCTGAGATGTTCTCTCCCCGCTTTTGGAGGCACAGCTCTCTGGCTTAACAGGCCAACTACCACCCCACGCACAGGAGTCACCCTCACAAAGACCTGTTTATTTAGATGACTGCTAAAATGGTGTTTTCCACTTCTCTCTCAATCTCTCAGACTTTTTAATTTTAGCTTCATGCTCTAGCTTCTCTAGTAGAAAACTTCCCAGCCAGGCAGAGGTGAGGCAGGACATGCTGGGATGGAGATGGACAGTCCCACCAGTCCTTTCAGCTGCTGCCAAAATGATCCAAGGAATGCCAGAAGGGACACTGTGACACACACAGACATCGGCCATTTCTCATCAGCGCCCACTGTGCGAGGCACATTGCGGCTTGTGCGGTGGAAACACCCAGCTTCTCCTCTTGGCTTCATGGCAGGATGATGACAGAGTATCCTGCAGGTCTCACAAGGTGCTCTTAGTATTGAGGTAAAGGACTGTTTGTGTTTCAGCTGAAATGACAAAGTTGTTATGAATAGTTGGACCAGTCTCTGTGCTTCAGCCTGAGCTGATGGTATGCCACGGATAATTATAATCCTGCACTTATTTTAATTTGACATCTTTTGGGAGTGAAGTGTTACTTAAGTACATCTTTCTCCACACAGACAACAAGGTTCACTCTCAGCTGGCAGGTGCCATCACTACCTGTGCTGAGGCAGCCTCACTGCTTCCCTCCTTTCCCCCAGAGATTTAACCTCTGCACTGACTGCCGGCCAACTGCAGCTGGGCACCTCTTCAAGCAGATAGTTCACACTGCATCAGCTGGTTAAATCTCAGCCAGGGGTCTGGAGAGCAGTTCTTGCTCCAGCCCTGTAAAAACACCTGTTCAGGTACATACGCTTTTTCTCCGACTGTTCCTTGCTACTTCTTCCAAACACGCTCACCTTACAGGAGGGACTTGGCTGACTCTTGTTTTGCTCATGGATGACTGTGCTCCTGCAAATGTCCTTCTTCCTACCTGTCAGCTCACTACTGAACCACACCAAGGTAGGGGAGAGATCAGAGCTGCAGCAGCCAGACTGGTTTGGGTCCGCCAGGGTTTGGGAAGAGCCCAGAAAAGCTGGGATGAAACAGGGCAATTTGAATGCAGCAGCTGGAATGAGCCTTGCCTGGCTTGGCTTGAGTGCAGAAGAAGGGTCCCAGCAGCCACCAGCTGGTTCACGTTCCTGGCCCCACTGCTGGTTAAATATAAATGTATACAAGTCCCTTAAACAAGCCTGATGTTCACATCTCAAATATGGGAATAATCATCCTCCACTTACCTCCCTCCTAAGGTCTTTTATGTTACATTGGTGACGTTTTTAAAGAAATTTCTTTGGACTGAGGAGACAACACAAGTGCAACGTGTCATTGCTGAGCAAAAGAGGATTTTCTTACTGCAAATGTCTCCAAATCATGTGGCATTCAGGATCACTACATATCATTCTCCTCTTTATTGTGCTTTTATAACAATGTAGAATGCAGTTTCCTCTAAACAATGTTGGTAATAAAGGCAGGCGATCAGCAGGGAGATGACACTCATTTTAAGCCTCATTAAATTCATCAGATAAAACGGTGTGTATCAATAACGAAGGGTACTCTATTTTCCATCTTCCAACTGACTATTATAAATAATGACGAGAAATTTACAACTAGGAAAATATTTCCAATACAGCCTCTTACCCTGGGAACAACATTCTTAGTAGGTTGAGAAGGAATATAGCACAAAACTTCTGTGGTCTAACTATATACCAGACTTCAAAAAAATCTTAGTCCCTGCTGTTAATTTACAAACTCATTTCCAGAGGACTAACTGGTACATTGCAAGGGAGACCTAGTGGAAAACTAAAAAAACAGAGTTAACCATGTCTTACTCCTACAGTACTTCGTTCTCTATATAGCAGGGAAGGTAATATATGTAAAGGTGAGCAGGAAAAATGAAGTACTTAGCTGTGGTTAGGAAGAAAGTCAGTGGCAAAGGCTGAAACCCAACTTGAGATACTCACCCCCCACCCCACCTTGGGTATAAAGTGCTTTTCATACTGCTGTATCCATGTAAGTGAAAAAATGCCACAACTGCATGATCATGCAAGAGGCCAGTGCGGTGCTCTCTATTCCAGCCTATAGTGCTTTCCCTCAATATGTGCAGAGATTCCCTTAAGTAAGGTCCCCCCCTTTCTTGTTCTGCCTTCCTCCCAGTTAGGTATTAGGCAACAGCCCCGAATGTATCTATGAGAAGCTATTCATGGTTAAAAAAAACACCAAACCCAAACAAAAATCCCACAACCTAAATTTGACTATGAAAGACCTAAGGTATGGCATTCCCATTAAAAACGTGAAAACAAAACTAGAATCTCACAGAAAATACTTTGAATGGCCATAGCCAAGGCCTAGATTTGCTGTGCTTCAAATAAGACCCCAGGAAAAATGTCATCTACTTAAAGGGTACGGAAATTCAGACCTGCCACAAAGTGGCACTAGCAGCAAGTGTCATAATTTTAGTGGTCTCAGGATTTGTGCTCATTGCAATTAATACTTTTGACACAGCTAGTGTCAGTACTCTGTACTAAGCAGGATACTTGAGATAACTTGAAAAATTGGGGTATAGTGCTGTGAATGTAGATATTAACCTGAATACCATGTCCTACTTGTAAACAGTTAAATATTTTGAATAGTCTAAATTAGTCTTAGAGGGAAGTAGAGTTATAGCTGAGGTTACAGAGATGGACAAATGACAAATTAAGAACAAAAGTATAAAATACATTAAATAGTAATAATAAGACTTACATTTGTGTGAACGGACTTGTAAAATTAAAAAAAAAAAATTAACACAAATAAAATCCAACACATTGCCCATTCTCTAATCCACCTGCAGTTATATCCTACCCCACGGACCCCCATACAATCAGGTGTCATCTGAGTTTACAAAATGAATTTGGGGATCTATATTATGAAAATGCAGCATCCCTCACACAAAACCACGGGCTTTTTCACCCTCCTGGAGAACAGGACCATCACCACAGTCACCTCTGCGTCAGGCTCCCACACTTACCAACGCAGTCCTTTTTATTCCAGTGCAGTTTCTTTCCAGGCGGACAGACACACTCATAGCTCCCCATTGTATTAAGACACCCATAGTCACAGCTACCATTGCTGATGCTGCATTCATCAATATCTGAAAATGTAATTAAAGTTGAGAAGAGTATTAACCATATGTACACATGTATAACTGTGCATTAAGATATGTGCATAAGGATATGTTTCTACTATATCTTTTATATTTAAGTCTATACAAAGATATATAAATGCAGACAATACTCATGTCAAACAATTTTAGTGCATATTGCATGTATTTGTCCTTAGACACATGTATAGCTCCTACTCTTTCAAGGATTTATGCATACAATACAATTTACTTGCCAGGACCAGTTACACTGAAATTCTTGGAAGTACTCACAAGATACAAAACATGCTCGAAAGTGTCTGCAGCATCTGGACAATAATGTACATTACATTATATGGAAAAATGTCAAAGGCATAAACATCTGTGAGATTAGATCACTTTTGCATAACAGGGAGATAAATTCTCCACAGTGATTCACAGAGTTTGCTTTTAGAAATGATTCAGATGAAGGAGAAACTATATATTTGATAGGAACCTAGCAGCTGAAGTGTAGTTTATTCAGTCTTCTACTCCTCAAATAAAAATGAATGGTAAAAGCTTGCATGAAGGCAAAGCAATTACAGGATATGTTATCACTGATATTCCACATAAACGCTTTCAATTGTTGATACATTAGAAAAGTATTTAGTCAATACGAGGTATATCCTTTTTACTCCATGCAATCAGCATTTATAGACTTGTGCCAACACAGCTGATCTCTCGTCTCCTCGCCACCCACCGCCAGAGACGGTGTTTATCCGTCACGCTCAGCAGGCGTTGTGCTGCCATGTACTCACCTCTGGATCACGCTCGGGCACACTTGGGGCACTAGATGGCACAGGCCAAAACTGTCGTATGGCACCTGTGAACCACCAGTTGCACATTGCTGCTCCAGACTCTTTAATTTTAGTATAGCCATAACCTAAAAGCCCTTGTTATGAACCACAGCCCAGTTATTTCAGGCGCTGCACTAACCTCAACAACAAGTGGTTTCTGCCCTTTGGACACAGCGACCCATCTGCTTGCTGAAACAGTAGCGTTACTGTAATAGACTTTTACAAGGCACATAGGTTGTGCCACTTGACATATGCTCAAATGAGCTAGAATGATGCCAAATCAACATGAAATATACTGAATTGCTAATTCTCTGGTTTAACGATAGGCCTCAAAATGTAACTGTAGAAGGAAAATTGTCACTTAATGTGCTTCTAAGGGAGGTCTGGCCATAAATGCTCACAGCCCGAGTGACTGCCTTTCCAAACCACACCTGAGCCCAGGCTTGCACTCCGATTGCCATGTGCCTGGCACTGCCTGAATCCGTCTGGTCTGCAGGAACACAGCCTGAGTTCAGGCCAGTGCTCCCCAGGCCCCAGTTCTGAAGCCCAGTGAGCCCACCTGAAGCCAGAGGGTGACGTACAGGTAGGAGGTGGGATGACGAGGGACTGGGCTGAAGCACACACATAGGCATTGGTTAACAAATGCGGGCCCACACATATTAGCCAAGTTTTCCTCTGGCATCTTGGGGAACTTGATGGGAACATTGGAGTATTTACTAGGGCAGCTGCTGGAATCCAGACAGAAGCTTTCTTTTTCTGATGCAAGATTTTAGCCTGTGTGGTTAAGCAAAAATCTAGAAAACATGGAGTATGTGCTTAAAAGAAACTGAGAAAGAGACCCTAATACAACAGGCATGTTTCTAGACAATGTTATGATTTGGGTCAGAGTCAGGACTTCTGGAGGTCCTGGGTCAGCAATTCCAAACACTGACAAGGGAGATGATAGTCCCAGAAAAAACTTTTTCTGGGACAATTTTGTACATAGTGGTCAGGCTTATGCTGAGTGGGATCTACATGTGAACCCATACTTCGAAACACACATTTAGTCGACAGTGCTTCTGCCACTGAGCTCTGGCCGAACTGTTCAAACCTGAGCTCTTGCCGTCAAGTACCTCAGCCCAGAACCAAGCTCCTGAAGAAGTAGCCGAATTCCCAGAGGCATTGAACAGTCCTGCAGATTCTACTGACTTTCCTAATGTCACTTAACGAGCCAATATATACTGCAAGTAGGGCTTTACATAAAGAGGTGGTGTAAGTGCTAGCACTGTCCTTCTAAAAGGTTCTCTTATGACACACGATTTTTATTTCAAGAGATGACATGAAAAGGATCCCAGAGAGAGCAACAAAGGTTGTCCCTCGGCATGGAAGGCCCAGAACAAGGACGTTGCCACGTGGTTTGTTAATTACTAGTAGAAGGGAAGCAAGATGGAGAGAAAGCTTACTAAGAGGCAAGCCTGCACCAAATCTTTTTGAAGGTTCTCATTAATTCTCCCTAGTTTTGACTTCTGCTCAGTGCCACATGGATGGCAGCCAGGGTAAGTTATTTGTTCCACTGTAAACATCACTCTCCAGGGGCTGACTAAAACTAATGATAGGCCTGAGCAGCAAAGCTCAGGGCTGGAAAAGTCTGGATTCAGAGCTGTGATTTTGGATCTGTCCATTATGGAAAAAAGCAGGAGGTTCGGATCTGGTTATGTTTGTGCCCAAAGTTCAGCACTGAGTATTTCCAGTTAGAGTTTTGTTCCTACTTCAGTCTTATTTAAAAGACTGAAGCTGAACAGAGGCTGAAGATTATTTAAAGTCTGAAGCTGAAGCCCAAACTTTGAGGCTTTCCCTAAATTAATACATACATTAAGTCATTAAGGAATTAACAGTGATACTGAAGATCAGTCTCTCTACTGATCCCTCCATAGGTCCCCAAAACTTTCAGACACTGACTTTGCTTTCAGAACTGCCCTCATGTGGTGTCTTCTTCCAAACTCTTCCCTTAGATGGACTCCTATTTCTCTTCCTGCCTGCCTCTACTGTACAGTGAATCCATTACTTATCCTGCTCTATACAAGAGATACCAGCACACACCTCCTACGCCTTTCTCCCAAAGAGAAGCCAGGCAGAGATATCATTAGCAGTGTCTCACGTTCACCCTACAAAACCAGGTGAACTCAGTGCTCAGACAGAAGTGAGGAGCTAGCATCTGTTTCTGCTACATCAGTTTGCATAGCACAAACCGAACCACATGGGAACAAACCAACATCAGCTTTTAACTGTATCTTTTTGGCTCAGTCTGTAGCACGATTTACTTAGGAATACATAGAGGATAACTCTTGCATATAATATGCACCACAAATTAAGAGCCATTATGGCCCAACACTGTTCTCAGCAATTCCTCTAGTGTGCTTTCCCTGGGCTAAGTTTTTGACTCAGATCAGAACCTGGCCTGAATACATAGCTTTTGTGGATTTAAAGTCAGGGCTTTGTTTATAGTATTATGCAAGCTTTACTTAGTTTGTCTCTTGAATAATTAAATAATCAACTATTAGCCATATTTTAACTAAACAAAACCATTTAGTTTTTTTACATTTAAAAGTAACGTGGAGAGTTTATTTTGTGTCAGTATTTTCTGACAAGTAATTTAGATTCAGGGCTTTCAGGTTTTATTATAATTTCCTCTTTCCACTTTTGTTTGTGTAATGCTGACTTGATTGCTTAAAAGCATAATTTGGACTTAATACACTTAACAAATCCCTCAAAAAAACCCTTTGCTCTCCTTTGACCCGTGTTCTGTCCTGAACACAATGAAAACCTACCCCACTTATTAAACTTTCAGGCAGGAGACCACAGTGATACCCGGGGGTGTTAGCTGGACCGGTGGCAGGCAGTCTCATACTGTGATACCCCTGGCAAACATTGGACTTAGAGTGCTCTGAAATTCTCCTGCCTTGATCAAGTAGAAGCTGAACCTCTAATTTGGTCTTTGTGGTAATACTGCCCTGTGATGCACTTAAATATCCCTCTCCTGGATAACCAAACATTACAGCACTACTTCTTTCCAGTTACGCCAAAAAGGTTGAAGAGCTGAAGTAGCTCCACAGAAAGTGGGAAGAAGGTACCCCACAGCCTTCCATTATGAGTTTCGCAGGCAGTTTATGTCACAGACTGGTCAGGACAAATACCAACAGAGCCAAAATTTGTAAACTTTGCAAAACTGACATCCTTCTCCTATTCTCTTTGTTGCCCATCATTTGAAGCCTTTCTTCTGTAAATACAATTGTGACTAACCTCAGTCCTGTGGAAGTACCGACTGGTACTCTGTGCTTGTAAACTCTATAAGGAGCCTTACCCTGTAGACCGCGATGAACCCCAGCCATGAGGCTGCTTCGCGATGGTTGTGGAAGAACGGCTGCATCCATGCAGCAGTGGATGCAAGTGTCACAGCTGCAGGCTTCTGGTCTATACTGAGGCTGATATGTACCACTATCACAAAAATGTTGTGGCCATTGCTTTTTATTTATGTTCTTCTGGGAACGCTTCAACAAATCTGAGATGCTCAAATTTTAGTCGTATCTAGCTCATGCTATTTTAGCTTTATTTTAACTTCATTTTAACTTTATTGGTTTATCGTTTTCAGTTCTAAAACCTTCAGCTAAAAGAAGGTGTGGCTCAGTAAACAGTTCACAAAGCAAACAAACAAATAGATAAGCAAAACTTAGTTTCCAAACCTCCACAGTGCGTCAGTCCATACAAGGTGTAGCCTTTATGACAGAGACATTCAAAGCTTCCAGGGTAGTTGATGCAGGTGTGATCACAGGTCCTTTCGAAGGAACACTCATCTATATCTGAATTCATAGAAAAAGCATTAAGAAATTAGAATTCAGTTAAACTGAATGGCTGGAATTTCACATTCAGTTGCAATACCTTGTTACTGATAAAGTATCAGGTATCATCCCAAGTAAAATCTGAGGAAAATTTCATTCTCATTCCTCTAGTGCCTTATAAAGAAAGGACATGCAGGTACATAGAGAAAGTCAAGAAGAGAGGATTTAAGAGAAAACATGAAGACTGTATTATATATGTTCACCATTAGATGGCAACCTTTAACTTCTGATTACATCTACCCAGCAGGGCTGTGGAGGTATGAAGGTTTGTGGGGGTTAGTGGCACAATGAAAAAAAGTTTTGGGTTGAATCAAGTCATTCCCTCTTTCATTGACTATTCCTCTGACATCTCGCCCACCAGGACAGGGAGTCACTCGCAGACTTGTGCTCTGCCTACGCAAGACTGTACAGACTGCTGCACAGCTACAAGGGAGTAAGGAAAACACTGCCTGAGAGTAAGTCAGTATCAGGGACAGACAGGCTGCACCTAGGACACAGGAAATCTTAGTCCAAGGTCCACATTCTAGCTAATTCAAGAAAATTTGGCCTCTTCCCCTTAAAAAAGTCAGGCATCTCCAATTATCACTGCTCACTAATGTGAAACCCTTATTTACACAGTCTCTTCCATCCACCAGCCTATAAAGCAAGCAATTAACAGCACGTTGTTTCAAAGGTAGTACAAAGGTTTTGCTGAGCAGGGTGATGTAAAAGTTTATTTGACAGCAGTCACGATGGAAGGGACTTGCTGAAAACCGTTACATTAAAGGTACCTTAAATAGCAATGTGTGCAAAATAACAACACTTTCGAGTGAATTTTATCCTCAGACAACTGTTTTTTAAAAAATCCTCTTCAGTGATTAATTTTTCTGTTAAAAGGTCAGAGAAATTAATACAATAACATTATTTGAGAGTACTAATTTCAACAAATCTCATTCCTCCAATATTCCTGAGGTATAAATGAATGGAATAGTATTCCTCTAACAGCTTGCACGCTTTCTAGAGTTGCTTATTAAGAACGTAACCTGAGCAACACCATTACTATATATAACTTGGACTTTCATATTGTACATGCTTAGAAAGCTGTGAGTGCTTGAAAAAACTTGAAAACTCACCAATACTTACGGGTATGCTACCCAGTTCCTATATCCAAGTATTATTGATACAGTTTTGATGTTTAATGAAACATTCTAGGTCTCATCCTATTATAAATGCAAATACTTAACTTCAAGAACTATAAAATTAAGACTTTGTGAATGTGTACACAAACCCAAAATCTGTGTGAGAGTTTATGCACAAAATTTAGAATGCTGTAAACAGCTATGTTTTATATGATCTCCAATTTTAAGTGTTTCAAAACATTCACACAAAAGAGAATTCACAACGTGGAAAGCAACTGTTCAGGCAAATGCATAACATAAAATGAAATACACATGATAAACAAAAATCTACACTATCTGGTTTTTATGTGTGCACCACAATCCCTTGTTATGATCAAGTAGCAGAAAAAGGACAACTGAGATTTTACCTTTTTTACATCTATTTAATTTTTAATGCATTTTCCTATGCATTTTAAAATATCATTGTTTGATTTCTGAAAGTAATTTCTTTTTAAGGTTTCCTTTATAGTCTTGGAAATACGCAGCTTTTGAATACACATAAATGGCAAACTGTTTCAGTTTTCTCTAAATAAATACATAAAGTAAAATCATTTGGGAATGAACACTGCAGTTACAGTTTTAAAGGATTTTTAATGCATAAGAAGCCAAATCTACATCATGGTTTCATTCATGTGTAACCTTGTTCTCTATATGGTATTGCAGGAAATTTACAAATGCAGTTAATTTTCTGGCCTCTGACTTACCTTGGAAGGCTCTTTCTCAAAACTAATTATTTCATATTTCTCAATAGTGATCTTATCCTGTACTAGTTTAGTCAATGGGGTTTACGCGTTGCTTTCACACATACCGCTTTGTGTTGTTACACATTATGGCTTAGGCCTTTACAAGTTTTTCTTCACATTAAGAAGAATGCACGTCCCTCTTTGCCTGTGGAAACAACAGTCTGCCTAACAATATGACCAGTCATCTGCTTGCCAAGTAACAGGCACTCACGATGGACAAATGCATTTCTATTACATGAAGTATCAGCTACTCATAAACTTATATTGCTTACACTGGCTGGCAGAGATGCTGAAACAAACACTTTTATTATAATACAAAGACCGCTATTAAAAGCTTTTTCGCCATTTAAACCCCTCATCCCACCTCCTGCTGCTGTTCTCATAAATTCAACCTCTGCTGAATTCAGCATCTTGCTTTGGCTGATCAAACACGGAAAGCCTCCATGCAGATTTTTCCTTCCCTAACGCTAGCCCCCCGGCCCCTCTCCTCCCTGCCTGTGGAAGGTAGCGCCAGGCACTGCCCAAGGGACCCCGCTTTCCGCAGCGCCCATCTGCAGAATCACCAGTCCCCTGAGGAATTCAGCACTGGTCATAGAAAAGGGAAAAATATGCACCACATACTCTTCACTAAAAAATCCCAGCGGTGCGATACAGGATGCTGAAATCCTCTCGCCTTTTTTTTTTAAAAACCCCTGAAACGTGTGCTCTGGGCCCTGTTATCCTCTCGCTACCAGAAACTTTGAAGTTGGCCCTCACACCTTTGTGGTGCTCCACAATACTTCTCCATATTTACCCTGAAAGGATGTGCTTATTTCCCACCACCCTCACGACAGAGGTTTCTCTCGTAGGAGACTGGGGAGCAGGGAGTTACACCTGGTTTCACCTTCGCAGCCCGGGGTTTCAAATCCTGCTTACCACACAACTGGCAATGAACGTAGGTGTCTGAATCTTGTCTCCTCTGTACAAACAACACTACACAATCTGGTAGCATTATCTACTGAAGAGAAGCCCAAAAGTACAAAAGCAGAGATGTAGCAGGTTACAGCTAAAGAACTGAGAACAAATAATTTCTCTTCCAGTTTTGTGGTCAACGCCCCCCCGCCCAGCACATGTACACACTCAAAACCACACGCATTTTTGTATTGGGTTCCTCTGAATTTCCCCCCTTCCACACACCAAAATAAATACTGAGGAATTAACTTTCTGGGTCTGAGGCACTCTTAACATGATTTAAAGTTATTTAAATTAAGTTTTTGAACTGTTTTAACATGAAAAGTCAAAATGTTTTGTTTTCGAGGAACTGCAGTGGAAAACTTCAACTCGAGGTTGAAGTTTCTATTCTATTTTTAGTTGAATTTGGCACGAATTCACAAACAGTCCAAGCTGTCTCAGAACATTTCAGATTTGCTAATGCACTTATTTGACATCAAACACATTCTTTTTACTTTCACTTAGTCAAAAATTCATATCACATTCACCACTGTAATCAGCATATGCGATTGTGTCATTTCAGCATATTAAGAGACATCTTCACAGCTTAACTGTTTGAAGCTTACAGGAACTATGGGGCTAAATTAATCTCCGATTAGTGCACGATTAGCTTCCTGCCAGAGGCAGGTTTTTTTAGGATTACTAATGGCACCAGATAAAGTCCAGGATGAGGACCTCCCTACCCCACAGCAGGCGAGGCAGTGGAAGTGCCAAGCTCAGGGGCTGGAGCAGAAGACCTCCAGAGGTCCCTTCCAACCCCCCCGGCAGTCCCAGCCCTCTCTAAAGGCGCTCTCTTTATGGTGTCCTGCGCTGCCCAGAGCTCTCCCGCCAGTCGCTGTTTCCATGACATCGAGGCACCACCTCAGGCTGAATGAAGTCCAGCATCTCTTCTATCAATCCATGTTCTCATCTCCAAAGAGAATGTGTGAACAGTGGAATCACTCCTGTATTTTTGCCTAGAAGGGATTCAACTCGAAGAGGTTGTTCAATGGTTTAATAAAAGAGCAGGATTTCCCCGTGTTTTTGAGGGAAGTGATCGCTGCCAACGGTGGTCATGCCTGATAATATTTGTTTGGCTCTGTTCCTATTATTTCTAGTCAACATTTGGATTTTATTGTTTATTTTTCAATCATACTGAGCATATATTTTTTAGTTCATGCTTTCACACCTTAAACGATCCCATCATGATCTTTATTCTTCTTGAATATAATGTGTTAGTGGGTGTCGGATTGTCAGTACTAGAAAGTAAAGTCTTCCATCTATCTGCAGAAGGCAGCTACCACAGGTCAGATTTCTTCTAAGTTTCCTCACACAGATGTCTCTCAAAGGTGACCTGAAGGAGCAGGGAGAACGCCGCTCATTTTCCATGCTCATTCAAGTCCCTGCCCTTTCCACTGATTCTGCCAGTAGGCCCAATTACAGTGGCACCGATTGTTCTGGTGGTTTGTGTGATGTGGACACTGACTCATTTGTGGATGTAGAGTACAGGGCACCAAGAAGCCATCACACAGCAATGATTTTTGCGAAGTCTGAACCTGAGCTGGATTCCTACCAGCAGCTCTGGAGTGAAAGGCCCCTTTCTGTACTCTGTTTCTAGTCCTCAAAGGCAGTCCCCTGTATTCTTGATTGTCATTGCTTTCTTCTCTAAAAGAAATTTCAGAGTAATTAAAAGAAACCAATGATCAGGAAATCAAAGTGTAAAGCAGGACATTTCCAAAAAGCATTAGCATTGCAAGCAAGCAGCTCAACACTAAACATGGACAGGTGAGGCTGGCAAATAGCACTGGATTTATAGATGTTTTGATGACTGCAAAGTGATGTAGAAACTGCTATGACTCCCTGACAGAACGGACATGCAAAATTCACTTGCGCAGAGGTACACGTGCAATTTAGGGGTTGTGGTTATAGAACTGAACAATTCAATGCCCAGTTTGCCCAATCCCACATTAAAAATTTACTGCAAAAATAAGGACCTCCCCCCCCTCTCTCCCTTAATATAATTTTGTTTGTTAATATTAATAACAAGTGAAGAAATTGGTTAGAGAAAACTAGTGGTAATCACGACAGCTTT